GAGGTATAGAAGTATGTCCAATGTCCATTCCTTTATATTTGGGTGCCCACTTTATTGAGCAACTGTTCTTCCACCACAGAATTGTTTGGTTTCCTTGCTGAACATTAATTAACCATAGATGTACGTGTCTATTTCTCGACTCTCCCTTCCGTCCCATGATCTGTATGTCTGTTCTGTGACTTAGTGTTTTGGTTGTTGCAGCTTTTAGTAAGCCTGAAGTCAGAAAATGTGGCCTCTCTGACTGTTGTTATTTAAAGCTGTTTTGACTGTTTGAGACTTTTTACAATTCCATGCAAATTTGAGGATTTTGGCTTCAGTTTTACAAAAAAGAGCCTTTGGAAATTTGACAGACTTGATTGAATCTGTAGACTTCAGATAGAATTAACATCTTGGTATTTTTATTGTTTGTATTGTCTGTTCTTTGGATAAGTGGTGGGATTCTCTTGTATAGGTCTCAATTGTACAGGTCTCACCGACAGTTGTAAATCCTGGTTTAGTTCCTCTTACATTCTTATTGTGTCTTCCAGTTCACAAACACGGACTCTTGCTCTATTTATTTCATCATGTTCCATACCTGTCAACTGCGTTTCATCATTTTCAGTGTGGATACTACTTTTTTACCTCCTTAGTTGAAATTATTCCTATGTCTTTTATTCAAAAGTGAGATCATAAGCTATTTTAGACATGCAAAGAAATCTAAGGAACAGCAATGGGCTCCCCGCCTGATTTAGTCAGTAAAGCATAACAGACAGAAGTGTGTGGCTATTGACATACTTCTGTTCTTATTTCATTTTACATGTAGTCATAATTTTATAGACCCTTTTACTTCCTGCCTCTTTAAAAATTGAGTTTTAATCTCTGTGAGTTTGAGGCCAGCCTGGTCTACAAAGCAAGTCCAGGAAAGCCAAGGCTACACAGAGAAACAAAACCAACCAAACAAAAAAGGACTTTTAACATTTTCCTGCTTTCATCTGTAGAAGATATACAATATTTTCCTGCTATTTCACTGATGACTCTTATTTTCAAAACATGAACTTCTTTTTATAAAACATGATCGTGTTCTTTGAAATTTCATACATCTGTGTAATGTGTCCTGGCACTCTCTCCCACTGTGTTCAGTCTGTCCTAACTCCTTTCCATCCCTATTAACCCTGCACTCAGCATCTCTACCAAGCCCCTCCCCAAGACTCAGGACTCTGGCCTTTGTTTTGTGACTCATTTCGTTTAACCAGAGACATCTGTGTGAGCACTAAGGTTGGAGCCGCCCATGCAGCCTGGTGGGGTCACTAGTGGACACACAACTGAAGAAGATGGCTCCCCTCTCACTGAGGAAATCAGTAGCAGACAGTTCTGCAGAGACAGGAACTGCTCCAACCATGCCAAGGGTTGACAGGCCCTGTTTTTGTGCAGACCCAGCACAGACATCTGCAGCCGCTGTGAGTCCGTGTCCTGCCCAGATGGAGATATTCCCAGTCCTGCCCCTATCTTGCCGTTCTTACACACTTCCTGCCCCTCTTCTGCAGTATTCTCTGAGAACATGATATCAATATACTGATTAGGGATGGGCCCTCAGCCATCACTTATTCTCATTACTATGAGTCTCTGTATTCCCCAGTGTTCACCAGAAAGAGAGGATTCTCTGATTAAGGCCAAGAGTAGGACTTATGTATGAGTATAAACAGGAATACTGAGAAGGCAGTTTGAAGAGTATGGAACACTTCCTGAGTTTTCATTTCATCCTCAGACTCAAGGGCCATGCTTCTTTGTAGTGTTTAAACTGAAGCTAGTACAGGCACACTTTTTTAATAAGACCAATATGAATGGATATATTTTCTTCCCGAACAAAAACTGGATTTAGAATATTTTAGTCCCGATTATTGTCTTTCTGCTCTTAGGTTATTATCATCTAGTGTTTAATTTCTTTAAAATTTGGGGGGGTGGGGGAAAGTGTGCAGGTGCTGAAGGGGCCAGGAGAGGGCAGTGTATCCCCTGGAACGGAAGTCACAGGCAGTTGCAAGCTACTCAGACCATTCTTAACTGCTGAGCCATCTCTTCAGCCCCCAATCTAATGTTTTAGTTATACTACTGCTTTACAAGGTTATTGTGTTTAGTTATATACACTTGTTAGATTCTTTGCTCATCCTAAACTCTTTGTATCCCTCCCCCCCCCCCCCCCCCGCCCTTTTGGGAATTTCAATAGTCTTCGGAAATTTTCTTTGTGGTCATTCCTGAGTTGTACATTACGGAACGTGGCTCCTGAGATCACTGCTTATCTTCTGATTCCTGCCCTATTTTTTTATTTTTATTTTTATTTTTATTTTTATTTATTTTTTTTTTTTTTGCACCCTGTGATGATTACTGTTAACTGTCAGCCTGACAGGATCTGGGATCATCTCAAAGGCACATCTCCCGACACACCAGCGAGGGATTATTTTGCTGCTCGAGTACCTGTGAGGGATTATGTTAACGAGGTTAGCAGGGGCAGGGAAGAACCATCCCACAAGCGGGAGGTGACCTTCCAGCTGAGTGGTTCCTGGACTGTACGGAAAGGAGAAAGCTAGCTGAGCACGCGCATTCACTACCCACTGCTCCCTGACTGGGTTTGACGTTGACCAGCTGTCTCGGGCTCTTGTATCCTCTTCCTGCCAGAGTGGATTGCATCCTGGCTCCCTCAGTCACAACTTCCTTCCCTGAGGGACTGTACCCTGATAACCATGAGCCAACATACGCTTTCTTCTTTAAATTGCTTTTTTCAGGGTCTTTTATCAGCAGGAAAAGAACTCAGACACCATCCAAGTACAATTCCTTTGTAAGCAATTTATCTCTGGTTACATTACAATTTTGTTGTTCTTGCTTTTGGCTGTTTGCAATTTCATTATCCCATCAGATTTTTTTTTTCCTAGAACATTTTAATTTGTGGTTATTCTGTGAAGACGTATATTAGACTTTTTCATGCTATGTAACATGTCTTCTTGCCTCCTTTGTCTTTTATATTTTCTAATCTATTTGTGCTTTATTTTTCTAAATTTTTTTCAGATACATAGTTGCTTACTTTCTACTGTTTTAACTCATCTATTGAGTTTTACGTTTCGCAGGAATTTTATTTTTAAAGATTTCTCTCTCTCTCTCTCTCTCTCTCTCTCTCTGTGTGTGTGTGTCTGTGTGTGTGTGTGTGCATCCAAGCACACATGGACATGCTCAGAGTCCAGAGGGCATGGGATCCTCCAAGATCTGGAGTCACAGCAGCTGTGAACTGATGTGGGTGCTGGGAACGGAACTGAGGTCTTCTGAAAGAGCAGCACAGGCTCTGAACCACTGGGCCATCTCTCCTGTTCCAATTTAGTTTTTAGGCTTTTATGTTTTTGAAAGTATCTTTTTTGAGATTGTCACCTTCCCTGAATTTATTATCTTAAACCATAAAGGTTTTGTAATCACAGTCTAAGATGCTGTTGTTTTCATCTCTGTTCATTCTTGTTGGATTTTTTCCCCCTCATGTTCCACATTTTTTTGTTGTTGTTGCTAACCTTTCATTTTATTTGGGTGTAATCTGCAGCAGTTCTATAATGCTTGGTTCCAGTATGTGTCTCTTTAGAGAAAATGATTAATTTCTGACCAATGTCCCAGGGTTGTTTTCAGCTTGGAACTCCGTTGCAGGCTAACAGATCAAACCCAGCTGCAAAGGTCATAAATTTCAGGTGGAGTCCATGGATGGTTGAAATAGGAACGGTAGGTGGTCTTTGGCTACCAGTTCTTTGGGTAGCTTTATTTGTGTTTTTGTTCCAATGGCACTGCAATATATATATAATGTTGTATAAGCTTGGTGACTGTCTTCTAGGCCTGCATAGACTTACAGAGCCTGCTTGTTATGAAACCATTCCTCTTGCCACTCCACACAATTGTAGCAGTGCTTTGTCAGTTTGGATTTATGGGGATTAGAGGTCTCAAGACTTCCTTAACTTAAAAAAATTCAAGATATGTTTAATGTTTAACATTTGTTCTAGTATTCATTGATGTTTTGTATCAAGAGTATTTTTTTTTCCAGTCTACTATTTTTCCAGAGATAGAAGCCAGAGCTTTCATTGAGCTTTCCCAAGAATATCGTAACTTAAAAATAAATTAATTTTATCTTAGCAGTTATCGAATGAGTTCTGTGGATCAGTTACCATCTAGAGAAAAATCATTAGCTTTCTTCCAGAATATGACCTTCATTCAGAAACCAAAACAAACATGTCCATCTTTTCACTATCCCTCTGTAGCTATCAATTTGAAGGATCACATGATCACATTTTCAAGAGGTCTACACGAAACTCCCTGTACAGAGCTTGCAGCTCAATAGTAAGAAGCTATTGTAAGGAACTATGAACATACACCACATTATAGAGTTCCGTATACTGTTCTGTTAAATTTGTTGAAAGGTTATACTTAATGATGCAGTTTAAAAAAAACATTCTCAGATTCGTGGTTATAAGAGGTCTGAGGAAACTCATCACTGTCCCTCAAATGGCTCTAGAGAACCAGGAAAGAGCATGAGTTACTGAGCTTAGGACTTTGTACAGGACTCACTCACTATAAGGACGCAGTGCGTGGCTGTGTGTGACGGCACGTGCCTTTAATCCCAATTTTGGGAGGCAGAGACAGGAAGATATTTGTAAATTCAAGGCTAGCCTAGTTTGTGTATCAAGTTGCAGGTCAGCCAGAGATGCACAGTGAGATTCTGTCTCAAATCAAACAAACTAAAACAAAACAAACAAATAACAAAAAAATTATGTAGCATAGAGCACATCTTTAGAAAAGGATGACATTCCACCGTGTGATAAAAGGCAGCAGCTGATAAAGTCTTAGACTTCAGATAAATCCCTCCCTTGAGAGGTACCTCTAGTCCTTAAATGTCTACTTCTCTAATATGCAGAAGACATTGCTGTTACTAACACACACAATGAAAGAACTACGACCAAAATTCATATATCATTCAAAAGTATTTCTCTTTCCTCTGCGTTTAGATTTTCCTGTACCTCACGTTGAAAGAAATGCTTGTGTGTGGCCAAGTGAACCGCTCCTGGATGTCGATGGTACAGAGACGCTGCTTATGGAATGCCGTGAGTACTCGTGTAGGAAGGGCGGTGGGAATGGGCTTAGGCACAGCCCTACAGCAGAACTGCCTTCTTCCCTGCTCCTCCCTCCCTTCTCTGTGGCCACCACCAGAAAGCACTCTCTGTGTTTTTGGTTTGTCTGTTGGTTGGTTTTGGTCAGCACAAACCTGAAGGAAGAGGTAAAAAACAGAGAATAACATTATCTTAAGAGCTCTATCAGGATTTTCTTTCTTTCTCTCTTTCTTTCTTTCATATTTGGATTTTAAATTATAAATGGTGGGATATGTAAGCTGGATATTATTTTTATTTTTTAAATAATTTATTGGATATTATTTTCATATTGAAGCAAAGCCCCATTTTTGTTGGATGAGCTATGCCCCATCCTTGTTTCCTTATTTGTGTTCTTATTCCTGCTGATGAGCCCAGGCTCAGTCTGTGATGAGCTCTTCACTGCAAGAAAGAAACTTTTTAAAGAAAAGAAAAAAAAAACTGTTTGAGCTAGGCATGATAGTGCGTGTCTTTAATCCTAGCTAGCACTCAGGAGGTAGAGGCAGGCAGATCTGTGTGAGTTCAAGGCCAGCCTGGTCTACATAGTAAGTTCAGCTCAGCCAAGGATACATAGTGAGACCTTGTCTTAACCCCTCCCCAAAAAAATAAAAGAAGAAAAAACTTTCATTGATATTAATTTTTATAATTACTTTTTGCATATGGGTATTTTGCCTGCATGTACGTCTATGACCATGTGCATGCCTGGTACCTGCAAGGCCAGAAGAGGGCATTATAGTTTTTGGGACTGGAGTTACAGAAGCCATTGTGTAGCACACGGCTTCTGGGAACGGAACCTGGCTCCTCGAGGAGAGCAACCAGACTATTAACCACTGGGCCATCTGCCCAGCCCTGAGCGGGGAAAACAACTCAGAGTGTAAGATTGGTAATGACCATCTCATAGCTCACAACTATAAGGTTAGTTCTGAGAAAGGGGCGTGTCCTTACTGAACTTGGCTGTTGACGTGTAGAACTGATGAGAGCAGCCGTTAACATGGACTTTGAGTAGGAAGGGCTGATTGATAAACAAGAAAATTAATGTATAAATACTGGTGATATTTTTAGCTGTATTGTTTGAGGCACCCAAGGTTTGAACATCCAGTTTCTTATCTTAGTTTCTCATTGCCTGCATATTGCTGTGCCATTTTTAAACAGTCCCGGGGAAAGGCAGAGCTAAGAGGAAGGAGAACCCAAGGACACTCTCAATTCTGGCTTTGTTCTTCCCTGCCATAGGCTTATTTTTCTACACTTGTATCCAATGGGTCTCCGTTGACTTTTTCTAATCCCTGCCAGGCTTCTGCAGGATCAGTCTATTTGATATTGTGCAGGTGTTATTTTTTTTTCCTCTAGAACACTTATATTCACGTTTTCTTTCTTTATGAGTTTTCCAGGAATACCCCCAAACAGCCATCACATAAATAAGAGATTAGTTACTTTTAAGCCATTTGTTCTCTGAGTGTGGTCCTGAGCCAATAGCATCAGCATCACAGAAGAGCTTGTCTGAGATGCACATTCCTAGGCTCACCCCACTCAGAGCTGGGAGCTCAGAGTAGCCATCCACAGCAGCCTGTCTTTACAATCCTTCTGGTCGGTAGAACAGTTGCAGGCTCTGGTTTTAGAATCACTTTGCTAAACTAAATCACAAGGCAGGCAATCTAATTTGTCAGCTCATTGGCGGTATTGCACAGACTGAGACCTGAACAGTAAAGTCAGAACTAGATGGAGTCCTGATGGGATGCACAGTCATGGAGTTGTAGTTTTCTGGTACACCGTCCACTCCTCAGTTTCTGTGAAAAAGCTTAAAGATTTTGTATCTAGTGTCTGGACCCCTGGACACAGGTCAGTACATGGCATCATCAGTCCTCCAGTTATTATCAATGAGGGAAAGTGGTGAAGTCACCTATGAACCAGCTGGAGAAAACAGGTAAAACAATGGCCACTGGACCTTGGCAGACACCAAAAGGGATCCTACTGAGGTTATAGCATCATCCAAGGGACATAAGAAGTCACCAAGGCATATTGTATGCCTCATTTTTATAGTTGGCCATGAGACTTCTGTGAGTCTCTTTGGAATGAGATGCAGAGTCATTTCCAGCTTGTAAAAAGAGTGTAGAAATAATACCAGAATAATAATATTAAAAAAGACCCATTAGCCTAGATGTTGATGTTAGAAAATGCCAGGTAGTAACAGGAGTGTCTTGTATGCAGTGTTTACAGTATCAAACAGGCTTATGTCTATACCTTACACAGTTTGAAAAGTTTTTTTATTTCCCCTTTTGTGAGGCCTGGTCATGGGTTTTGGATTAGTAACCAATAATTGCAATTTAAGCTCAGCCCGTTCACTGGGCACTATTCTAGGCAGTTAATCGGTGCTACCTCCATAGAGAGGCACTGCCGTGTTCCTCATTTCACATGTGAGAAAAACAAGTTAGTTACATAATAGGACCAATAGGACACGTCAGTAAGTGCCTGGGTTAGAATTCAAGCTGTAATCTGACTGTCCACAAAGTGTGCACTCAATTATTAGACAGTAATGAGGAAACCCCTCACCTGCCACTTGCTCTTCTCCTAAAGAGCAGTGCAGGACCTCTGCTCTCCAGGTTCTTCTAAAATAGAATCCTGAGTTCTGAGAAGCAACACTTAGCATAAGAATGGCATCAAGTAGCATTCATGAAAACAGTTTGTCCTTAAATTCCTAGATAAGATATGTTGTCCCTGGACTGAACTAGAGTATATAGAATAGTTGGGTCATGTCGGTTCATGTATTCTTTTACTGTATTATGTTCTTTCGCCCCAAGTTCATCTCCTGTCCAGCCTTATGTTGTATGTTGCATGTATTTAATCAATTTCATTGGAAGGCATTAGGCTGACTCCATCTTTTGCTATTAAAATCTTGCTTCTTGTTCTTTTATACATGCACATGATTGTAAATTCTTAGAGGTCAGGGTTAGTTTCAGATTGACTGATAATCACAAAAGCATATGCAATTCAAGAATACAAGCTGTTACAAATTCTCTGAGCTCTCCCAGCTTTTTGATATAGGAGATCGCACTGTTTTTCTACTTTGTATGTCTGAACTCACAAAAGATTGGATGCTGAATGTACACGGAGTATATAGCTCAGTGGTGGAGTACTTGCTTGCCTAGCATGTATGGGGATTTGATCCCCAACTTCAGAAAAAGTGTTACAAACTTTTATCCTGGTGTACTTTATCTCTCACTGGCCGAATCTAATACCTTTGGAAGTGTGTGTACAAAGATAGTCTTTATTTTTGGGAATTTGCACACCAGAGCACTAAAACGTTTTAGTATCTTTTTTTCTGTCTGGGAACAACTCTACGGAGAGCTTCTGGTGTATTTGATGCTTTAAGAATGTTTAAAAATGTTGTGCAAAATAGCCCTCTCACATTTCTTAATGCTTTTTACTTATCCCTGGTAGATCGATTTTTCCACAGCCAGAAACATCGCAGACAAATGCGTGGTGAAGACTCTACAAAAGTGGCGTCTAACGGTGCTGCGCTTGAACTTCCAAGGCTGTGTCCTGCGAACAAAGACTCTGAGATCAGTCAGTGAGTACGCTTGGCCCTCCTGCCTCACATCTCCTGTCTCCAGCCAAAGGAGGAAAATGCTAAGGGGACTTCAGTGTCATGAGATTGTGAGCGCCAGGAATCGGTCCTGTGACTGTACTTCTTGATCACTTTTTTTCCCTTTTGTCTAGAATTCATGTCTGTATCATCAGTTTTTCTGCTAAAGATATAAGAATATATTCTTATTTTAATGAAATCTTACAATGGGTATTAACAGCATTCCCTCTCATCCCATTTGCTTATGGAAAGTATCTACTTTATCAGTTTTTCTGAAATTATGTTGACGTATATATGCTCTTCTGGCTCCCACTTTCTCCCCACTTTAATCCTAAAGGTTTTAAGTACAGTTTTGTCTTACAACATAAAGATGATCATGTTGGTTGCATTTTCTTGTATCTTGGCAATCTTTCCATATCACAGCATATAGATTTACTAAGTTCTTTTCAATGACTATAAAATAATCTCTGTATAATAGACGTACAAGAATTAATTTTTTCGCTTTATTGTTGAGGATTATTGAAGTTATTTCCCATTTTCCAAGGCTGCTTTGTGCTTCCACTGTGCTGTTTGTCTTTAACCTATGTGTTCTTTGAGATTCAGTTTTTTACTCACCATATATATTCCCAGAGAAAACAACAGGTTTCAAAAACTATTTAGCCAACTGATTCCAGATAATGAGAAAGAATTTCATGTTTGTACTTAATATCTTACTTTTGGATAAGTCTAACAATTATAAAGCGAAAGTCAAATTACAGACATACACACTAATACCCTCTATATAACCTCAATTCATATGAAGAATTTCAATGTGAAAATGCTATACATATACCTTAATTCTTATCTTGAAACAATTGCAATGATGTGTATATGGCTTAAGGACATATGTACATGTAGTGACGTAAAAGACATGCATGAGAATAGAACACTTCAAATCAATGACAGGGGCCTGGAATGAGTTTGGTGAAACGGAGGAAATGCACACAGGGTTCAAATGTATCTTTACATTTTTCTTCTAATAATGTAAAGACATTGTGGGAAAGGGACTCATTTAGATTGGTTGCTGCTGGTACGGAAGAAACTTAGAGCTCCATGAGTGATTATATTGTACTGGAACACATGTTACACTTCCTGGTTTGCACAGTTTGACCTTCCATTCTTAATCGTATTTGTTATTACGAGCAGATTAATGTCTGTGCCTTCCTTCTCTTGTATCTTTTTCCTTATTTTCCTTTTGTTGCTTAGGCCCTCCTTTGGACTGATGAGAAGGAACACAGATGCATAGTTATCTGGCATTATGCTTGGATCCCTTTTTTATACTTTCAATGAGAATAATATTAATATTATTACACTCCTTAATTTCCCAGATATGCCTCATGTGTAAATGTTGTTTTTATTTTTTTCAGATAAGTGGATGAGATGAGAGCCATTCACAGGCTTTTCAAGCTCTTTCTAAACTCTCACTGGCTGGTTCAACTCAGTTGCTCTGTCCTAACCTCCTCTTTAAGCTGAAAGATTCAAGCTGGTTTCTCTTGGCTTCTGACTGAATTTCTCAAACTATTCTGGCAATATGTTTTAATCTTCTGTCTCCTTCTCATTCTCTAGTTTGTTCTGTCTTCACTGGTGTCTAGCTTCTTCCCTTTGCAACCTGTCTCTGTAAAACTGTCCTGGTAAGAAAGTCTCGGTTAAAAAAACTTTTCTCCCTGTACTCTTTCCTGTCCTGTTCTTGTAAGAGCATATGCTGTCTCTGACTCATTCTGTCAAATCTTTCTCTGATTCATCACTTTGCCTGGCCCTCATTTAGACTTCACTTTCAAACATGGCTGCTTCCTTCTATAAACTACCATACCTCCATTGTTTGGGATTAAAGGTGTGTACTAAGGGTGTGTCTGTATTCTAGCCAGATCATATAGCAATCCATAGCATGCCTGCATTCTAGCCGGATCACATAGACCTAGAACATCTTTGTATGTGATCTGTTGCCAGAGCATCCATGATGCTGGATTTAAATTCCTCTACTTCTTTCACCTTTCTATTTAAGCTAAAAATTGTACACAGTCTAACTATTTCAACAGAAACAATTAGTAATCGCACAAACTTAACAGTCTGAATGTCCTTACAAAGATCTGTTGATGCAGTCATCCTTCATAACTACAGTCCTGATCATCTGTCCTTCAGCAAATGCCCATTTCAGCATAAAGGTTTTCCATTCTTCCAACCTGATGAATGATCTGCTCTTTTTGAGCCAGTTTGTTGAGTTGTTCCATGCAGGGGGCACCAGTTTTCTGGATCATCTGCTTTGCTATCTTTCTGCGTGTCTTCTTTCTTTGAATCTCACCTGACATGTAGAAGCTTCTCTTATTCAGATCAGATTGCTATCAATTTGATGGAACCAATAGTCTTTCATCACCTCTGGAAATAGAGGCAAAATCTCTTACTGACTTTCATCTTGATGTTTAAACATCTTTAAAATATACAGGTTGATCTAACGCAGTAGTTTTTTATACAACCCAGTGTCTTTCAGCCAATCTTATCCTCCCTTTCTGTTTATCAAGTTACAGTTAAATCTTTATGAATCTACACATATCAAAAACAAGCATTTCTTAACTTTTAAAGTAGACACTTAGTCACTTGCATTCCATGCCTGGCTCCATGCCATTGAGCTGGGGTTCTTACCAATTTAAGCACAGAAACAATCAAGCCATATTACATATAATGTCAATATACAGTGTCAGTTAATAGGTATCCATTGTCTGAGATTGAAGGAATATTAATCTGAGCTCCCCATTATTGTGATATATTTCTTCTCCATAGGTTTGTGGTTATATCTGACACATAAGGCTTTAATCTTCCTGGTTGACATTCTGGCCCCACACATTTAATTAGTTTTACACTTTGTTTTCTTGGTATAATGTTCTAATCCCTACAAAATGTTTAGATACCTTCTGAAAGAACCAACGTGGATTCCAAGATCTCATGAGATTATAGCTATACAAGATCTTATATCCACCAGACCTTCAGTTTCAATACCATTTAATTTTATTTTTGGTCTTTGGTCATTGACAACAGTTTGCCAAAAAATCCTGTCTTTCAGTACTTCCAATTCTCCTGTTCTATCAATTAGAGCTATTTTGACATATGGAAACAGTAAAAGCTAGCGATTTTATATCCCACTTTAAACTGTACACTTTACATAAGCGACAGTATAAATCTCTACTACTTTGAAGTCTTCGTCTATAATTCTTGGATGCACATTGAATCCTTGTGATGTCTGGCTACTTCATCCTAAAACCATTCCTACTGTCTTTGGGGGTAGAGGTCCATGAACTTCAGTGGGTATTTTATAGCATTGAATTTGGGCGATAGTATGAGATTTTTACTTACAGCTAAGCCTAGGGCAGTGCTTCCTTCTGTAGCATGCATTACATCTCCAATGCCTAGTTTAGTTTTCTCTAGTTGCTCTGTGGATTACTGACAGGAAATACCTGGCCCCTGTTGTATGTTGCCAGTTTATCATTTCCCCTCAGGGAATTTCCCATATTTAAAGGATTATCTTTTACGGTGTTTTCTATCAGCAAGGGATTACCACAAATATCTCTTGCTGATCTGCATTCATTAGTCCAGTGCCTACCTTTACCACATCTTCTACAAATCCTAGAAGGCTGAGGTCTTCTAGAGAAATCTCTAGGAACACCTTGTCTACAATCCCTTTTCAAATGACTTGGTCTCCCACAGTTGAAACAATGGACATTTTGATATCTACGGTTATTGGCTATTACTTGTTCAATTACACAGTCATTAGGGTCAATATCAGCAGCAGTAGTTCTAATCTGTTCAGCCATGGGTGCTGATCAAGCTTTTAAAGGTAGAACATCTTTTATACACTCTGCATGTGCATTTTCAAAAGCTGAAGTTTCAATTAATGCCTGTCTCACATCTGGATCTTACACTCGCCTGTTTATAGTGGATGTTAATCTATATAAAAAAATCAGTAAAAGTATCTTTGGGGCTTGGCATAATCTTCATGGATAGACCTTTTTCCTTGTTCCTCTGTCTTATTCCAGGCTCTTAAAGCTATTAAAGTACATTGTATAATGATAGAATCATCAAATTGCATCTGCTTTTGTAAGTAAGCATATTGACCATCACCTAACAATTGATCTTTCATGATATTAACACCTTTAGACCTATTATGATTTCTCATAATGGCAGCTTCTTCATGCCACCATGTCAGCCATTGCAACTGAGAACCAGCTTCCAGTGCAGGTGCTGCTAAATCATTTCAGTATTGGGGGTTGGGGTAGCCCAGGTATTTAACATCTGTCTCACATAGGGTGAATGCATTTCAGATTTTTAAATCTGATTATTGATTCTTTAAATTGTTTGAGGTCTTGTATTTTAACAGAATTCAAGGCTGGTTGTTCATTTTGTGAATTTTTCCCATTTTCTGGCATTTGTTCTCAGGTAACTGGGAAAGTGACGGGCATGGTTGGCTTTCTTCAATTTCATTAAGAGGTGGCACTGTAGGTTCAATGGGCTGTCTATTTTGAGCTGCAGTTTCATCAGGTACCATAGGTTCATCATAAAGTACTTTCTCTTCTCTTTTGTGCTATCATAGCTAATTTTTTCTTGCTGTACAATTATTTCTTCTTGTTGTACAGTTATTTTTGAGATGAAGTATATAAAGATTATAATTTAAAGTATGGAAGTGTTTACTTTGGTGATCACAGTTGCTATAAATGCTGCAAAGTCTTTTTCAAGGAATGCTTCAATCCCCTCAAGTCCTACCCTTGGGATCTGGAAGAGAGTTTCCCATTTTTTTTTAATGTAATAAGAAAAGTCTGTTTATATAAATGATCTTTTGGGGGTGGGTTACAGTGATTTGCTGTCTCAGAGCCTCTTGTAGCTCCAGATACTTTTGAGTCTTTTTGAGCTTCCAGCTGAACTCAAAAAACTGATGCTTCCTTTGGAGACAATCACAGCCA